ACTCATGGTTTAAAGAATATACATCAAAGGATTTTTTTGTTTGTTCTACACAAAAGAGAGAGTTATTCTTCGGTGGATTCTGAAGAATTCGAGCCTGAAGCTTTGGTGGATTTAGGAGTGGCTCATCGTCAAGACAATTCCGAGATGAAGACGGGGTTGGAAGAGACACATAGAGGTTGGTTCAATTCGGGCGTGGATTCGCTAGGTAATTGAGAGTATACTTGTGTAATTCCTTTATATCTTCTTAGTGGATTGTTTTGTGGCTGTTGCCCGTGGTTTTTTTTATCACAATTGGAGGTGTCCAATTGTGGTTTTTCCACGTAAAATCGTTGTGTCGATTTGTTTTGATTGTTTGATTGGGATTGTTATACACTGCTTAAAATTGATACATAATCACAAATCAACATCTAGAGGATTTCTAGATTTTTTAAATATGTTGTTCATGCAATGTGTAATATGCAATTTTATGTATAGTCTAGCAAAGACAATTAAATATGTTGTTACTAATATGCAATGTGTTTCTTAGTAACTTTCATAAATAAATATGTTGTCATTAAATTAAATGTGGTGGTGGCAGATGGGTGGTGGGTGGTGGTGGTAGATGGGTGGTGGTGGGTGGCAAATGGGTGGTGAGTAGTGATTGGTGGTGGGTGACAGATGGGTGGTGAGTGGTGATTGGCGATGGGTGGTGGTGGCAAATGGGTGGTGGTTGGTAATAGGTGGTGCTGGCAGGTGGGTGGTTGGTGGTAGTAGGTGGTGGTGGTGACAAGTTCACCATTTAAAAGTGTAACAAATAAATAAATAATAATAATAATAACAATAATAATAATAAAATAAAATAAAGTAAAATAAAAAATAAATTATATTTTATTGTTTTACATCAACTGATTTTATAGCAAAATATTATTTTATATGAAGAATGTGTAAAAATTCGCTGGGTACATCTTCAAGTAAGGGTGTATAATTTGTGTAAACGTTGGGGTATTCTTTATAATTTTATGTACAAAAGTTTATATTAACTTTTTTTTTTCCTTTTCATAAAAAAAAAAAGAATGTTTATTATTAAATATTATTAAATTGTAACTTGTTTTATTTAATTTCAGAACATTAATTTAATTTTATAAATTAATTGATGCAGACAAATTATTTAATAATTGTGTAATTTTTATTCATTTTATTCAAATGAAGGAATTCGTAGACATTTATGATGTACTATTTATTAATTTTTGTACAAATAATTTTTTCAATGCATAATCTTTTTGCACAAATTGTTATAACATTATAACTATGTAATTAAATGATTCCAAAAAAAAACCCTCGTTGTTATTCATTACATGAATAGAAAAGTTTATAACAAAATAACAAAAGTAAAACAATCACAACAAAACTCACCAAATAAATAACCAAAACAAAAAAGGGGAAAAAAATATAACCACCATATCTGTGAACCATTTTACTTGATTTTTAAACAAGTTAAGCATCCTTGTCAGGTGGTGTTGGAGGTGGAGGGAAATGCTGATGGTACAGCTGAGTGACTCGATGGTAAATCAGATCAATGCGGTTCCTTGTCAATTCAGCACGTCTCTCTGAGTCTACACGAAACTCACCAAATTGATGAATTAGTGAGTTCTGAGCAGTGGTAATTTCATCGAACCGAGTACCCAATGTATTGAGCTGATTAGCCATTTGTTGTTTCCATTGTAGGCGTTGATTGTACCGTTCTTGTTCCAAGGCTAAATAATCAGTCCAGTAATGGGGTTGTTCATTTGGTGGCATGGCATTGTCATTGGGTTCTTCCTCATCAGGTATTGGTTCATTTTCAAGATTAATAGAGCTCATCAAGGTGTCAGCACCCCCAGCTCGGGTCAGTGTATACTCAGAAATTGGTGAAGTGATTCTGATCCATCCTTCACCTTCAAGGTTCACATCATGGGCTTTGAAAATTATGGTTAACAAAGCTCCAAAAGGTAGTGACCGGCCACTCAGAGTATCCAATTTTGCAAGCATCATTTCTTTTACTAATATAAAGCATAAATCTAATTTTTGTCCAATTTCAAAACAATATAACAAGTAAACTTGAAAACATGAAACACTATTATAATGTCCTTTTTTGGGAGTGATATTTTCAACTATCCATCGATGGAGAATACGAAGGTGAGGTTTTAAATGGCTGACTTGTAAATTAGTGCCGCTAAATCGATTGTCACAAATTGTGGTATAAATCTGAGTGACATCATCAACAATTTTTTCTAATGCGACCTCATTTTGAAAATAACATTGTAAATCTCCTGTTTCGACTCCAATAATTTGTGCAAAACGACGGAGAGAGAGTGTGATTCTTTTCCCCTTAACATAAGAGGTAAGACTGAACGGTTCATTTTGTTGGTCACCCGATGTCAAGTGAACATAAAATAATCGTAGAAGACGGGGATATATCTTATTTGGTAAATTATTTAATGGTAACCATCCCATTGTATCTAATTTGCCAAGAAAGAGTGAATCATATTGAGAAGGTAGTTTTACGTTTCTCCCCGTAACAATTGGTCGAGTAATGAAATGTTCATAGGCTTGTTCATGATGATATGTTGGAAAATCATTAGTTGGATAGCCATCATGTTGTTGCTGTGGTGGTGGTATAGGGTTTGAGGATTCACCAAGTTCGGGCCTGGTTCGTTTTGTTCTTGGCATGATTTTTCCTGGCATGATGACTGCAAAAGTGAAAGAAAATTGTATATTAAAACATATGAGAGGTAAGAAAAATGTAGGAAAAATATATCAACCATTAGTACATTTTTGTGCATACGAACTTATTTTTATGTAAAAAATAAATATAAAAAAATTTGGCGACAAACTTTAATTAGGCAGATGCCATAGAAATAGATTTTTATACAAAAAAAAAAAATCGTAGGGAATGATATTTCTCATTTATATTGGTTTTGTTTCATATAGTTTATTATAACTTAGAAACTGATAATCAGAAAAATAAATGATAGTGTGACAAAATTAGAACAGAAATCAGAAAATATAACAGATGAAAATGGAACAGATATGAAACAAAGCCAACAGATACGGCGGTGGAATGGTGACTGAGCCGGGATGACCGACCGGATGTCCTGTGGGATGACCGCCCGGTAGACCGGTGGGATGACCGCCCGGTAGACCGGTGGGATGACCGCCCGGTTGTCCTCCACTTCCCCTCCCTCACTCCCTCTGAAGCTAATGTCTGAAGCTAATATTTGAAGCTAATATGAAGATGAACTGACATCAAAACTAACCTGTAAATTATGAAAGTGGAAAAGGAGGACCTAATGAGATGGTGAATATGCTCTATTTGTCTAATTTTTGTTTTCTGATGTAACTGGAGAAGGTGTTTTTGAGATGGTGAAGTTGGTGTAGTAAACGGAATGAGATTCAAATTTAATAGAAAGGGTGAGGTTCAAAAGGTTCATGTTGTATTTTTTTTTTATTTACTTTTTATTTGTTAAATATTATATGTTTTTAATATTATTACTTTTTTAATGATATCACATCCGTGTACTGAATACACAGCTGCAACCTCTCCTTTTTCTTTACCTCAGTGTTGAACACACAGCTATGAAACAATAGGGGGTAGGTAGTAAGTAAGTGAAATTACTATCTTACCCTTTATATTTTGTTCTATGTAACCACTTTCCATTTAAGTCAAGAAGGGCATAATAGTCATTTCGTATGTCAATCCCCACAATTATATGAGCTCCACGGGTATAATAATGCATTGCATTTCTGTTACCACATCTGGACGAAATTCATAACATGTAATAAATGGAAAAAAAAAAATTGATAATCTTTTGTAAGATTTACGATATGATTTGTATTTTAAAATATTAAATTTAGTGTATTTATTCCTTCTTTATTAATATGTATTTTCAAAAGTTGTTGACTTTAACAAAATGTTAGAAAAAAATTAAAAACGTATTTTACAAATGAATTGATAGAAAAATTAATTGGCAGAAAATAATTGACACAGGTTTATTTTAAAATGAAAAAATTATTTCGAAAAAAAAATTATTCAAAAAAATTACAAAAAAAAAATAATTGACAAAAAAAATCAATTTTTAATTTCAGTATTTTAAAAATAGTTTGGTTATTATTGTTGATAAAAAATATGAATATCGATATATGAGTTGTGTGTTTGATGATAAATTATTGGTTGAATTAAGTTTTGAAAACTATTTTCAAAACACATCACCAAACAAATTTTCACCTTTCACATGTCATATCAAACTTTCAAAACTTAATTCAAAATACATCTTCAAAACACAATTCAACACTCTATTTAAAAACCATAACCAAACAAATTTTCTACACTCAAATCATAATTCTACAACCCACAAACTCAAAATACAACTCATACTCTCAACCCACAAACAAATTTTCACCTTTCACATGTCACATCAAACTTTCAAAACTTAATTCAAAATACATCTTCAAAACACAATTCAACACTCTATTTAAAAACCATAACCAAACAAATTTTCTGCACTCAAATCATAATTCTACAACCCACAAACTCAAAATACAACTCATACTCTCAAATCACATTTACAAAACACAACCAAACGCAGGCTTATTTTCCTATATAGTGTTGGTTCGGTGAAAATAAAATAATATATATTTGAAATCCAAAGCAAATTACAGAGGCATATTTATGACTATTTCCATAATCCAAAATTACTCATCTCTGATTAAGTTGGGCCATTTAAATTCGAAAAATGTAACATGTTGGAGCAATTTTTATGGCCATTGTAACTCGTTCTCATTCTTTTTACTTCTCTGACAGGTTAATTATTTTAGCTAGTCTAAATTAAATAGATAAATTATACTTTTCACCTTAATGCCTTGTTTGATAAAGGTTTTTTTTTTCTCTTTTCTTTTTAACTGTAAACAGTATCTTATTTGATTTACTAACAACACGTGATGATGTGAACCCATACAATAAGTCTTTCATTTCAAAAATTTATAAATCAATCAGTTGAGCAAATAGATCACATTGGACAGGAATTTTCTTTTATAGTGGAAAATGAAAAGGACAAGTTCACCAAAATAAGAGACCAGACTAGTGATAAAGCTAGGCATATCATGCCTTTTTTTATTACTATATCAAGCCTAATATTGGTATGTTTTCAAGGTAATACGGTTATTACATAAATGATCTTATTAATCAAACAGCTTATTGGTCATTTAATAGCCCAAATTGACAAGTGATTATATGCATTCTAAAGCTTGATATAATGATCGTTGATCATCCATTCCAGACTCCAATGATTGTTCACATTCTTCAGAGTCCAATAAGCCCACCCAAACGAAGCCTTCCCATACACATCCAACTGGGCATTGGCAAACTTTTGGTAATCCTCTTTTGTTGCCCCTTCAACATTCCATTCAGCTACCCACTCCCCTGCAAATTCCAACCACATAAATTTGAGGGGGGGAAACAATAAATAAATAAATGAAAAAAAAAATTATGAGCTGCATGAGTTCGGGATTGTATACCTATAAAAGTGAGAGGTCCATTAGATGTAGTAAGTTGATTCAACTCTGGTAATCGGTTGTTATAGATGAAATTAATGTTTTGTTGGACACTCATTTTGTCAAAGTTACTGGAGTAGAGATTGTAGTAATGTATATCAATGACTGATCCGTCTAAGCCACTTGCAAGAGAGAAGAATTCTTTTGGATCAGAAGTTGCTATACGGTTTGACATAATCACGTAAACTGTGGATGAGTACTTTCGGACAGCATTGTAACCAGCTCTATAGTACTTGTTCAGGCTTTCTAGAGTTGCTCCGGGTGAGAGAGGCTCATTGATCAACTCAACCGCATATAGGCGTGGATTATTAGCATACCTATATGTGTGCAAAAGAAAAAATTATAAGAGACCAATCGTTACCATATTGTTCTATGAAAGTCAGATATGGTCCAAAATGCATTATAATTAAGAATGGTTGTACCTGGAGGTCAGAAAATCTATAACATTTACTGTTTCTTGAATGTTTTGGTCCGATAGCCCCCATTCTTGAGACCCATCTCTAGAAGAGCTATGCTCGTAGCCATTTTGAGAACCAGGTGCAGCATGTAGATCAATAATGACATTAATTCTATATTTTCTACAAACAGAAGACTTCTATGAATCAAAAAATATCACTAGATATATATATATATATTTTTTAAGGTGTCGACTTGTCCATAGCTAGCCTATCATGCTTAGAAATATGCCTAATTTAATTTTACAATGTCTAGTGCGAAAACAAATAATATTTTGGACAAGTTAGTATTGAAACACGCAAAATTGATGCTCAACTAAGCCCATTGTGTTTCAAAATTCTCACCACGATTGAGAGTGCGTTGGGTATAGGGCAACATGAATTTTTTATACAAAGATTCATGTGTTGTGATTTGCAGTTTTTTAGTTTTAGATCAATTGGGGGTTAAGAGACATACTGTGCCCAAATGAAAGCATTATCCAAGGCTTGCAAGGATCCCCCCACATAAGGCTGTGGAGGGGTTCGATCACTGGCTATCCACCACCCTACAGGAATTCTTACTGCATTTATTCCATTGCTTGATATGAAATTGAAGTCATCTTCAACTATGAATGTATTCCAATGCTCCTGAGATGTACACAACCCATCAAATTTTCTTAACGTATAATTATGATGGTAATTATATAAATCCCTCTAATCAGTTCTTTTTTTTAAAAAATACATCTCCTTCTAAGTAATAAGCCACTTTTTAGTGGGATTTTTACCCTGCCTCACTAACAAACTAATTATTTAATTAAATGAAATAAGGTGCTACTTACTGTCATAACTTGTGGTGCATTCACTGGACCATAACCATTCGTCAATTGGAATTCACCATGTAGGCCCCCAGTATTTGTAATGATGAAAACAGATTGATCGTCATTTCCCCAACTACCATCTCCTTTTGAATCAGCTGTCACAAGATTTTCTGTCTTTACCTACAAATTCTTATTGAGAAACTCAATAAGTAGCAATTTTTGAAGTAGATAATGAGATTTATGTGGCTATGTGTTTGAAAATGCCATTGTAGTCCTTTGTAATTTATCAATGTTAACACCGTCTCATTATTCTTACGTTTTTAACATTTTTTTCCCTCACCTGAACTCTAAAACAGATTGGCAATTTTTTTGAAGTCATCACAATCAATGTTTTGAAAATCGGACCGGTGAGTGAATCGGAAAAAGGACCGTGTGGACGAGTCACCGGTTTAACCATCGGGTCAAAGGAGTTGAACCGTGACATCATAATTAATATTATATAATTATAAATTATAAATAAATAAAAATATATATAAATACTCAAATAAAAATAAAAATAAAAATTACTACATAGTATTTATTAATAATATTTAATGAAATCATAACTGATGAGAAAAAGTTACTTTTTTTAAAGAAATTAATTTTTTTTTAACATTCCCTCCAACCAAACAAATTGATTGAATGCTATATTTAATTTTGGAGGGAAATAAAATTTTCAACTCTCCCACCAATCAATATGATTCAAATAATCTGATTGAATCTCACATAGAATTTTGTAAGTTCTCTTTAAAAAATCTTTTCCTATAAATAACAATAAACTTTCATAATCTCCTCAAACTTCTAATGAGACTCCTCCTTATGAGAGGAGACTCTTGAAGTAAGAATTTCTAGTCAAAATTTTGAAATATATATAAATATATAAAGAAAGAAAAAAAAAAGTTAAAGACATAATTTTTTTTAAAAAAAAAAAGAGGGCCGACCCTCAAAACTCGGTCTGGGTCACTAGTTCTACCAATTCGACCGCCGGGTCTGTCGGTTTTTCAATTTTACACCAGTTTTGCCCTTAGTTTGGGTTTAGAGGGTTTCTCGAACCGGAACAAGGGCAGGTCCAACCGATCTGACCGGCCGATCCGATCCAGATTTCTAAACAATGATCACAATCTATTGCCCTCCCTATTTTGCGAAGTTTGGCCTTCTAAGGTATGTATAGATAATTTATGAATAAAAAAATAAAAAAATAAAAAAACAAAATTGCAAGAAACCATTTTTTCCTTTTCTGATTGGGTTAGGAAAACGAAAAGGATGATGGGGACTATCTGGGTGGTTAGGATAACAAAAAGGAGGATGGGGGCTGTTTGGGCTATGGATCCATCACGGGTCCGTTTTGATAATCTAAACTGTTGATTTTGTTGAACACTTCGTGTATGTCATGTACAAAAAAATTAAGTTGATCTGGTAACTATAACTTATTCACTTTATCGTGTTTTTCATTAAAAAAATAAACGATAATTGTGTTTTTAAAAATAAATCATATATTTTTTTGATAACAAAAATAATAAATTGAACAAGTTGTAGCTAACAGATCAATCCAATTTTTTTGTGTGGATGAAATATACAAGATGTCTAACAAAATAAACAGTTCGAATCATCGAAACAAGATCTGTGAGTAGGCCCACGCCAAACATCCCTCTCCAATTTAGATTTTGGATTTGAGAGAATCCTCCTCTTAATGAAAATAATATATATTTATATTTATCAATACGATTCTATTAACGTGGGTTCTTAAAAACATGTTAAAAAAACAATGGTGCTACATACACTAAGGTCAAGTTTGGCATGTTGAAAAAAATTCAAAGAGTTAAAAAGTTATCACTATTCACCAAAAGTCAAAAATTACGGCTGCACAACTCTCAATCCTAATTTTTTCGTACACACTAATTTATATAATTTTTTAACACACATTTTTTCATAAAAAGTCAAAAAGTTAACCCAAACAGTCATATTTTTTTCCTCAACTTTTTAGTCTAAAAAATCAAAAAGTGCACTTATTTAGGACATCCCAAACAACCCCTAATTAATATACTAATTAATGTACTAGCATATACTTGAACATTGCCACTTCAAAACTATGGCCCCACCCATTATGCAAATTATGAAGATTCAAAACCTTTAAAATTATATCACATAATCTATTAGTACACTAATTAGTATATCAATTGATGCATATAACTTTATTCTAAAAAAATTAAAATATTTGTACATTTTATATAAAAATATATATAATAAAAATTGTATGAATATTTTTGGTGAAATATATTTTATATAAAAATATATATAATAGTCGTATAACAATTTGACTAAAAATGTATTGGGTCAAATATTACAATTAGACTTACAGGGTAAAAGAAAAAGTGACAGTTTCCCCAAAAAAAAACAAAAACAAAAAAAAAAAATATGTATGCCAGTTTAATTTAAATTATTGAAGAAATAAAGGAAACCTGTAAGAAGAAGCCATTAGGAGCTTTTATCCGAACACGGTTCAAATCATTAGAATTTCTGACAATCTCAAACGTTTCGGATCTACCCGGAGTGTCTGCAACAATAGCTACCATGTCGATCCCATTTCCACCACTATCTACTCCCACAAATTGTTTGTTGAACACCCTTAATTGATAGTTCGTCTCATTGATCCTCCACAACTTCACAACAACAATGACAAAAAATAGAGAAATTAAAGTAATTTTACAAAATTTAATTCAGACCCATCAAAGAAACATAAAGCCATCTGTGTTTTTTGACAAAAAAATAATAATAATAATAATTTACTTTGAATGTTTCCCAACTAGAAGCAACAGTCCTGTTGGCAACTATGATTGAACCTCCGCCCGTTTCGGCGCAAAGGTATTTTCCAGCCGTTACTGCTTTAAACTGCAGCCCAGTCCCATCCTAATCGTCAAAATTCAAAACAAGATTGAGCCGTTAGAAGATGAGAATCAAAACCAATAAAGTTTGGATGTTTTTGTTTGTGTACAAACCAAGAAATCTTTGTTTGGAATGCCATCGAAGAGAGATGGTTTGATCCATCCTTCTGCGACCAGCCAACCTCCAAGATTAACGGCTCGGATTTTGAAATTGGGAGTAAGCCTCCCATGAGAAAGAGAGAGTATAGAACTGAGGAAGATACAAAAGCATAGGAGTGTGTGTCTTCTTGTTGAATGTGCTGTTGCCATTTTGATCCTTCTCCAATTTCTAGTGCTAGTCTCTCTCTGTTTTTTTTCTTTTGTCTATGGGTCTCACTCACACATTCCTTGCACAGGCACACACAAATACATCTATATATATATATATATACTAGCCGCCGGGCACACGCGATGCGTGTACAAACTCATTTGGAAACTCAATTGATAAAAATTTTAATACATCCTCATTCAATTTATTTTTTTTTAATTTATATATTCAATTGCATAAATTTTTTTTTTCTGAATTTAATATGATATATATACACACATTCTCATATACTTCTGTGTTATCTCAAACAAAATAAAAATACACTCACAAAGAAATTTTATTGAAAACATACCCAAAAAAAAAAAATTAAACACACCCATACAAAATTAATCAACCAAACAAACCAATTAAGAACACTATTTTTTTTTTTAAAAAAAAAAAAATACACTCACAAAATTAAACAAATAAACAAACCAACTTTTTAAAAGCTGAAGTCTGCATCCAACTGCTTCACAACCTTTGCTTCTTCTGTAAGAGCTTTCTTTGTATTCATCCATTTCGCACGAACTAAAGGGTCATCAAGTGTGTTCAAATGCCTGAAGAAGAAGGGGGGGGGGAAATCACTGCCCCAATTATCCACAACACCCGGATCGAAGTCTCCGACCTCAAAATCATCCGGCATCGTTCCGTTCTCGTCCACGATCCCAAACCTCTCTTGCGACGACGGAGGAAGTGGTTTTGGATGGGATGTGGGTGGAATTGAAGGTAGGGTTGGATCGGAGAGGGGTTGGGTTTGGGTAGTGTTGTTGATGAGGGAGATGAGATCGAAGGTTTTGTTCAAATTGGAGGAGAGAGAGATGGGGGAAGGGGTTTTGGAAGAGGAGAGGGGTTTGGCGAGAGTTGAAGAAGATGAGTTGGTGAGAAACATTGGACCAATGCTTGCCCAAGTAAAAGCAAGCGAGTGATATCAAAATGAGACCTGAGATCTGTAGGAATGTTGATGAAATCTCCATTGTTGATGAAGTCTTTCATTCTCCAATCTCTACTTCATCAAATCTGATCTCTCTCTCTCTCTCTTCCGAGGTTTCAATCGTTCAAAACAAAATTGGAAGATGTTGAAACTGATTTAAAACTGCTGTGCAGTTTGGAAACGTGGCGGTGGTGGAATTGGTTGGTTTGAATTTATCATGTTACCCTTAGTTACAAATTGATATTAGTGTAGAAATAATATAATTATTTAAGAAGTTAGGGTCATTCTAGAAAAAATAGAAAAAAATTTCTAGAGAGGCTTCAGGACACCAAAGCTCCTGTTGGCTTTTAATAATAGTATAGATAGATAAATAGATAGATAGATAGATAGATAATACGGGTCAATATAATATATAAATAATATATATTACATATATAATCATGTGTATGAAAATCTAGTGGTAACCGTTATGTAAAAAAATTAATAATGATATTTTTATATAAATATATAAATAGTTAATTTTTTATATGTAAATTATGAAAATAAGAAGATTCAAATTTACAATTTAAGTTTCACAATTTATTAAAATTGATTTATTATTTTTTATTTATCACAAATTTAATTATATAACTTTCAACCATCCTTACTAAAATTGTCAAACTTAGGTTGAGTTCCACTCAAGCAACTAAAGTCGAGCTTAAAAATTTTTAAAGATTAAACAACATAATTTTCAAACATTCAAATTAAATTTGAGTGGATTTGGCAAAAAGCACCAAATAACCTAAGTAACCAAAACAAATTATATATATAATATATAAATTATTTGCTAATTTATTTTTTTTAATAATAAATAAAATTAATTAAAAATTTAAATATTAATGAAACAAAAGAAAAAGAATCATACTTAAGATTTCCAATAGAATTTTTCTTGAAAATATTTAAAAAAAATACACCTTTAAAAATGGATCATCAAATAAAGGGTTTTTGGCAGTGCCATATAAGCTCACTTTTTTATCTTTGTATTTTTTTTGGATCACATCACATCTCAACTTTTCTAACATATCTTTTCGTAAAAAATAAAAAAAGTATAATTAATCTTTTTTAAGTCACATCACATCTCTACTTTTCTATACATATTTCGTAAAAATTTAAAAAGTATATTTATTTAACACTTCCCCAAATTACTACTAAGTTTATATGAGAAAAATTTTATTTTTTTACAATGACATAAATAATTTAAATATGATTTTATAGAAATTCTTTTAATTTCAAAAGTTACAATAAAATATTAAATAGAATAAAAACAATTTCTTACAAAATAAAAGTAAGAAATAAATTGTAGAAGAAAATTAATATGGTATTTTCATTTAATCTGAAAATAATTCTAAATAAACAATAATTTATCACCTATAACCTTTTTTAAAAAAATAAAAAAGTTTAACGAACTATCTACTTTTGATAAAAAAAAAAATAAAATAATAATAATAATAATAATAATAATAATAATAATTTAGCATTTCTTTCTAATTTATTTAGTCAAAGTGAACTTTTTAACAATTTGAGTCAAAGAATATTTTTTATTCTTTATTTTAATTTCCTTTAATTGATAATTGAGATAATGAATATATATATATATATATCAAAATCCACCATGTTTGTTAAGTGCTAAAAAATTATGTTTTGTTCTTATTTGTTAAAAAATAAAAATTATATTAGAAAAATATTATTAATTCAATTCCTTATAGTTTAGAAAAATATAAATTTTTTTATTAAAATTTAAAGCAAAAAAGAAGAAAAATTCGTAGTGATTAATAATTTGAACAAATGTATTTAAAAACAAATTATATTTAGATCAAGAATATTTATGGACACATCATTATGACACATGTGAATATTGATCTCATTCTAATTATATAGTAATATAATTTTGAAGAATAATTTAAAATTGAAATTTTATTTTATAATATAATAAAGGATGCAAAATTTAAAGAATGAATATTGATCTCATTTCAATTGTCGTAAATATAATTTAAATATAAAATCCAAATTTGAAATTTTATTTTAAGAATATAAAATTAATTTATAAACTAATCATATCATAACAAGTATCAAACAAAAATTTAAAAAAAAATTAAAAATGGAACAAAAAGAATTACAACTTTCAACCTAATGAAATGACACTATTTGCAATTCTAATAATATATATTAATAATATAGATATATAGAAAATTATGGAATAGATCATTATTTAAAACTTATATATATATATATATTATGGGATAAATTATTATAATTTTAAATTTAAATTAATGGAATGCTTTCCATATAGTCGCCCCACAAATTTGAATTTTTGAAATGAATTAGTATACTTTCTATTTTTTATTTTATATATTTGATATACTTTCCATTTGAAGTCATAAATCAAGAGATATTAATTTTTTTTTTTTTTTTTTGAATGAGAGCTATAAAGGAGTTTTTTTTAATTATTTAAAATCAAAAAATTAGAAATTTTAGTTTGAGATATTGAAGCTCTCACAAAACTTGTGGTTAGAAATCCCTTTTACTTATATAATATATAAATAGATAAATAGATAGATTTAATAAGAATTTATATTCGTTTTAGATATTTTTTATATATTACTTTTTTTTTTTAGATTTTTATTAAAAATAATTTAACAATCTCATCACTAACCATAGTATATGGGAGAAGTGAAAATGGTGCAGTACTAGGTATAAGAGAAATCAAAAAGACTTGTGGTTAATTTAAGTCAATAATGCTGAATTTTTCTTTTAAATCAAAAAATTAAAAATTTGTAACGCTCCAAACTAATACATAATGAAAGTGCTCAAACCACTGCTCCTTTACGGTAAACGGAATAAATCCCTAATGCTTGCATTACATGATCATGAGGTTTTACAAAATAGTTCCACATGCGAATATACATTCAACGATTTCTAGCACATGAATCTATAGCATGTAGAACATTCAGTCAAAGTAAATAAATACCCTCAAGGGCTACAAATTTTTATAACGATTCTGCTTTTGACCCGTCACTGTTTTGATTCCAGACTCAGGTTTATGGTTTTGTGTGTCGTTTATTGTCCTTGGTCTTATTCCTTCTTAAATTGGTTTATTTGAAACGTGTTGAGTGTGTTTGAATAGGTTGGTTGTTCTTGGTTTTCAAACCTTGTATTGCCCAGAATGTATTGATTCTCCACTTGAGCGGCCTTTCTTTCGCTCGAGCGAGATTTGCAAACTTTCAGTACTTTGCATTCTGTTGAGACTTGGGAAGAGAGGGAGTTTGCCCTAAAATGATTAAAATAATTATTTTGTATAAATAAATGAAATTGGTGTTATAAACATGAAATTGGACGAGTATTGAAGTACATGGTGGAATTAAGTAAATGGTACGTCTCTCTTTGGAATTTTTAGAATAAATATATATATATCTTTGAGATTGTATATCTTGTTTAGAAATAACTGTGTTGGGCTATCGGTGGAAATAACTATAATTGTTGTAGAAATTGTATAAGGATTAGATGAATTAAAACTAATCCATAGTTGGTTATTATTGAATATGATCTGTTGTAAATACATTGTATATGTGTGATTGTTTGGGAGGAGAAAGGCGGTGTACCCACTGTTTGGGACGAGAAAGAAGATAGACTCCATGATAATTAAGTTGGCCGAAGTGTCCTGGGTGAAAGTCCCGAAATTTATACATGGGTGCCGATCCCGCGGACAAAATTTTCGTAAAATGGCAGATTGAAGTGTTTGTGTGTTAATGGTGTGATTGTAGAACCATTGAGTTGTAGTTTCATTTGGGTTATTAAAAAATAATAAAATTGGCTCATGTATTAAATGAATTGAAGGGGAATAAAATGAAATATGGACTTGGTATTCTATGATTATATAAAAATGTAAATGTTTTATCCCTGGCATTTTATGTACACATTGCATTTATATCTTCGTTAAATCTCATATATTGTGTTTAATTATTCCTACTGAGCTGTGGCCCACCCTATTTAGGGAAAACCATTTTCAGGTGCTGGTGACATGCCTCCACCAAGGCAATAACATTGGAGGGACTCTCAGGAAGCAAGAGCTTCTTT